GGGTTTAAGAAAACAACGATTCTTTTACCTGGGCTACTTCTTCATTCTAGGCTTCAGACTCATGACGAAATTATCTTTTTTCCCATTATATTCTATTCTCCTTCATTGTCTGAAGCACTGTGTCATTTTTAATCTCTGGTATGGAAATGAAAGAAATCGATTATCCAGTGATGCCAGGAACAAGGTCCCATAGAATGAGATAGAATACGGTATGGATAGGAAAGATAATAACGCGTCCTCCGCAAAGTATAGCCTTTGAGCCCAGTTACCAAAAGATTCTAAAGTGCCCTAAGTCGATTGATATAAAAACTCGACTTTTCATATTTATAAAGAAGGGGTACTAAACGATATTATTCTATAGTAAGGTATGAAATAAATGGGAGATCCTCCCATAACTAGTTCAAAAGACATGTGCTACTACGTCACGTGAGGTTAAGATGTTGGTTTATATGTCATCTAGGGATCACAGATAGTCATATATACAAGTTAATATGCTGGTCCATTAAAGAATGTTCTGAAAGAAGAACAGGATCGTTTAAACTTGTTATGGCCTGGCTTTTTTAATTTTGCATTCGTCCGGTGATATACTGGCAGGTGTAACTGTTTAGAGGACCTGGTATCGAACCCCGCTAGGAATTCTCATGAAAGATCGAAACTTCAGTTCAGCCTAGATGAGATGAGCCTTTGGGAGGCAAAGCTAGGTTAAATTCAATGTTAACGTGAGGACCACTCAGCTTAAAGGAAGAAGCTCAATTATCAGCCCTTAATTCATTTTAAACGACCTAGGAAGATTAAGCTTTGCTTCACAAAGTTCTGATATTCTCTAAATATACTTATATTGAAAAAGCTGATATATTTATTCTATCTCAAAGTAAACTTTATAGCAAGATACATTTCGAATTCCTCTGAAATTCTTATATTGTTATTCGTTGCAAATAAAATTACTTTGTTCAAATTCTTTATTAGTCAACTATATCTTATGTATGCATAGTATGCATAATCTCAGCATCAAAGTTCAGGCAATAATATAATAGGGCAAGCATCTTACATGCTTTCTTTAAGCTTTAGTATCTTTTTCCAAATTTGTAATAGTACATCTACCCTAATAGTGTCTGGAATAACAAAATATCTGTCTTCTTCAAATAAAATACTCATTATGAAGGGATTCAATTGACAGAAATAAGGCCTATCCTTCTGATTATTATATTTTAAACAAAGCTAATTTGATTCACACAGTACCAAAGTTTCTGAATAATTAGAGCATTCTTTTATTAATTAAAAATTTTCGTTTATCTTTTAATGAAAATTCAATTAAATGGAGAATTTGAAAATAATTTGAAATGTTTAATACCCGTGTTCTCATTAAGTTCACAATTTAGAGCAAATAATCCTCTGGAAGAAGAGAACTTCAAACTTTCTGCGGCAACCTGATATTTTTCCTTGATTGGAAGACAATGTGAACACCAGGTTGTGTAGAAAAAGACTAAACTATGCTTTTTTGTCTTTAAAAGTTGGGTAAAGTTGTCCGAACCCAAGTAGGTAACATCCTGCATGAAGATATCCTGTTAGCAAAACAAAAATTGACTCGTTATTTTCCTTTGTTTTTTGCAGCTGGCTTTTATTTATTGTGAATCTAGATTCTTTTAAATTTAATAAATGTAAAGTGTGTTCTCATATTTAATAAACACATAAAATTTATTTAGTTGGGCTTAGTAGTAAAATCCGAAAAGCTTGCTGAATTTTAATTTGTTATTTCTTGGTTATAAGTTTGTGAATGTTTTTTGAAGAATATTCTGATATTTTATTTTATTTTCCAATTAGATTCAATAGTATATTCAAGATATCTTACAAATTATAAAAGTGCCTGCATCACATTTGTCATAGTCTAGGACAAATATATGAGTGGTTGTACCATAAATTCTTGGAAACAAAACGAAGGAAAAAAGAGTTGAGTTGAGAATTGCCATGTGAATAGAAGATATACGCATGGATAATAAATATACTTACGTTCAAACGTCATAAATATTTTAAATATTATTCAAGTTAGTGAAAAATCATTACCTACCTTCAGAAGAATCTCTTGAGTGAATTCGCTCTATTGAGTCCATTGAGATAAGAATCTCAATGTTAATCTATTCTTATATGTTAACAAATCTTAGCCTTAACTCAGAAAAAAATTAACATATTTATTATTAATATTGCATTTTGAAACAGTGTACCAAGCGTTTATTGGATGAAAATATTATTGTTTGTTTATAATTAGCTATTCAAGACTGCCAGTAGATCACTCAAATGAGGTGCATTCATCCTATTTCGTTTAGGGTTATAAGGGGAGTGATTAATAAAGGAGTTGTGTGGATGATTGTCTTAGTAAATATAACTTTTCTTCATCGGTAACCCCTCCACAGAATGTGATATGGGAAAAATGTTTGGCCTTCATTAAAATTCACCTCTGCACTGTGAATCAAGAGCATTCATGGCAATGTGGTGTAGTAGTTAACATATCGAGATTATACAATGAACTGTCATTGTTTGAGTTTTACTGGGGGTACTGACAAGACCTAAGTGAGGTCAAAACTGCAGTCAACCCTAGATGAGAATACCTTTTGGGAAAGCAAAGCTATGCAAATCCCACCTGTCATACATCTATGGAAACCATTAGATGCCAAAGATGAAAAATATTTTCATAATATTATAATACTATTTTTTCCATACAAATAAATAAATAAAGATATATATATATATACATACTTCTGAGGTATAAAAGTAACTAAGAAATGTGCTGCTCAAAATTGTGTTATAACCACAATAAATAAGAAATAACTGCTGAGACATGATGCTATGAAATTCCAATTGAATTAAGGTAAAATGCTACAGATCTGCTGGATACATTTAGACCAACACATGGGAATATAATATAGAACCATGTCTCTTTAGTCAATGTTCATCGACGTGTTATACTCGGGATAAAGAAATGTGCACTTTCTATAGTATTTGTATTTTAGAAAAAGCCACTTTCAAGGTAAGTCCATTAATTCATTATCATATCTGTTAAAAATTAGCTCGTAAAGGAAATTAATTCAAATGAGTAGTAATTGGGATAAGTAGTGATTTGTACAAAGTAAGACGTCTGAATAAGATTAAGAACTCAAGAAGGTAAATCAAGAAACTTTTCAACTATTTAGTTTAATAAGAAAAACTTGCGGAGGTTCGGTGTGATTAACAAAGTAATATTAGAATACCAGTACATCAAATAGGGTTGGATTTAAGCAAAATATCCTCAAAAGTGTATAATAAAAATTAGAGGATGTTATATGAAGAGAAGCTGGGATACGAAGAGTGTTAGCATACATTTTATTTAGTTTATAAAGGCGGATGGGAGGGCTTCATAAAGTGGCTTTTCGGAATATCGGTAAGGGCTGTTTTGAACTTATGACTATTTGATTGTGCAAAGGAGGCCTCGGATCACCGTCCATCAACCCTGATGTCTCCATGCTGAGCTTTCGTTCAACATGCGATGGACATCATCAGAACCGGAAACCATTATTTACGAACATTCACCAAAAAACATTAAACCTAGAGAGCTGGCCGGCTGAGATCCAACTAACTTCTTATACCTCACTTTGCGATCTTAATGAGGCATTCCATGATTTGATTGGCTGTATTATACTTTCCCGGCATGCATGTAAATGGCCCAAAATGATGCAGAATGGGGAGCAAGTGTGGTTACAACTTTTGTCTATGCAGATAAACTAGCGTATGCTTCTGTAGTCCTGGGTCATGTAAGAGCTTCTTGGGTGGGTATTCGTGTGTGTATGCAAAACCTACTAGTTGGCTGACTATTTTAGGTCGAAAATCAGACTCCAGCTTAGTCAAGTCATCTTCTCTTACTCAGTGGCTCTTACTGTGCCTTTCCTTCACTCTCTTTCTCTCTCTCCATATAATTATAATTAGCAGCCAGAGAGAGTTTTTACTTTGTATACTATATTCATTCCTCTTATCAAGGATGTTCTTTGTTTTGTCAACTTCAAGCGAATCCAGCATCTTCCGCTTAGCTGTGAATTCCTCACATCCGGCAAAAAAATGGGATTTACATCACTCTATCTGACGTCCTGTAGTGACCATACATTCAGCCACCTCCGATTTCTGTTCTGATAGCTTCTTATGTATGGGTAGACAAGTCTCCCCCATATAAACACAACCACTTGAACACAAAACCTTATGACAACCTAATCTGTAGAGAGCGTCTGAAGATTCTATAAAAGAATGCATGATCGAGGAAAGCGTTATCGTTTCTTTAAACATCGTATTGAAGCTTCATTTCCTCAGCAATTCGCCTATATTTCTTGAAAACTTGCAGGATGGTAGCATTAGGAACCTGTTTTATCCAAAATAATCGCTTCTTTTCACCCTATTTTTTAGTATTTTTTAAGTGTCAACACTTAATCCTAACAGATAATTGTTCTCAACTAAACTTCTTCTTACCATTTTTCGCTTCTTTTCCTGATGGTTTGCGTCTGCCAGACGTAAACTCTTTATAATAATTAATTTGATTACTCCTACCATAACACGATAAGTATGATTCGAGAAAAAATTAACAAGGAAATTCGCATTTGTGGTTTTCATATGTACATCTCTACCTAGTTTGTTGCCTTCTGTAATAACTAAGACATAAAAGAAGGGTAGCCTACTAGCCTTCTCTAACTCCATAGTGAATTTAGTCGCCTTATCTACACTATTGATTAACGCAGGGAAGTCTTCCAAATACTCTTTGGCATGCTGTCACATTGCAAAATAATCATCCATCTATCTTGCCTATATATATATATATATACATATTTTTGGCAATAATACAATATTTTCCAAACTCTTTTCCCAAATGTCTC